GTGCGCTGCTCCGCTGCTTGAGCTTGCCGTCGACAGCGCCGGCAACGAACACGCAAAACCCTCCTTTCTCGGAGAGTGTGTGGCCGTGAGGCGTGGCGTGGCGGTATCACAAACGCAGTCGCTGGCACTTCCACTCCACGAGAGCCGCTCGGCGCCGCTCGGCGCGTTCCGATGTGGGAAGCGTGTGGAACGAGGCGGCACCACAATCGCTCCTCACTCATCAGAAAGGAATGCCTCTCCACGGGACGCCCCGTGCCGTGAGTGTGAGAGAGAGAGAGAGAAAGGGTGTTCTCGTCTCAGGAGAACACCCTTGTGACAGCTCCCTCGGTGGCTGGCGTGCGACGCGGGTTCGCGCCCCGCCGCCGGCGTCGCGTTTTCTTCGCAGCCCGGGGCGGGGCTGGCATTTAACGATAGTGTAGCAGCACGGCATCTCATTCCGCGTCGCTCACGCTGCTACACCTCCACGCTGCAGGATTCGGCTCCGGCACGTTTAACCTCTTCGAAAGCCATCTGAGAAAATCCCTCTACACAGTTGACGTGCCAGGCGCTCGGTCCGTGCGCCTCAATAATCTTCAAGCGACGCGAATTTCCAAGATACTCTCTGCCCACCATATAATTTCTGCAAACTAACTAGTTACTACGCTAACCTAGGTCGCCAGCGCGAGCGGGCAGCGGCTCGGCGCGCGCAGCGCCATCTCGCGGCGACTCGCGGAACCTCGTCCGCGCGCGAGGCCAGTTTGAGCGGTGACAGAGCAAGTACGGAACGTTCCGTACTTTTCTCCGTACCTCCGTACTATACTTTTCTGTGCCATTTCCGTACAAAAGTGCGGAATTTTTTACAGTGAAGTGGTCGTCTTGCTCTTGGTCCCCCGCTGGCTTGGCCTGGGGACTGCCTGGGGACTGGCGCGCCTTCCGCTGTGAGGGGCACAGCTTCCTCGAGGGCTGCTTTCATGCTGCGGGGCCAGGGGCCAGCCAGCGGCCAGCCACGGCCCCGGAGTCCCCCCGCCCCTCTGTCTGTCTCCCCTGCGGTTCGCATTTCCCCGCCCGTCCGTCATCCCTGGCCGTGCTCGGCACGCCGAGCCCGACCGCCCGGACCGAGCTGCCATCCGCTTGCTTATTCATTCTTTGCACACACAGGCCGCTGGCTGGCTGCCTGGCCGCCTGCCTGTGGTGTGGTGTTGCGTGGCTACCTGCCTTTGCGGCACGACCTGCTTTTGCGCAGCGCGGTGAAGCAGTACGCATGGTCCGGGCCAGCGTCAGTGTTGCCACAAAAGAAGGCAAAGCGTTCCCACCACTGTCAAGGCCAACCTGCAGGTTTTTGGAGCGGAAAGCCCAGATTGCGCGGTGGGCAGGCTGAGCGGTTGGCAACCCTGACTACGCCACTGGATCGTGGCCATCTAATGGGCATTCATCGTGGCTCTGACTGGGAAGCGACCGGAGAGTTGGGGTCGAGGCTGCTAGAGACACCAGCCGAGCTTCGATTGAAATTCCAGGCTCGGTGGAGAGCGAGCAAACCGAGATTATGAGCCACACGTCAGCAGCGGCCGCAGCGAGAGCGGCACACAGTGGGCCAGAAGACCCGCGCCGGCGGCCGAAACTATAGACGCGTTTAGAGCTGCAGAGTCACTTAGCAGGACTTGATCGTGTGACCCCACCAATGGATTCCTCGTTCGGAGAGCAATCCATCGGTGGGGTCACACGTTCGGTTCGAGTCGCATTAAGCGACTCTGGAGCTCAAAACGCGTCCGGGATTTTGACCGCCTCCGCCGGTCTTCTGGCGAATCCACTGTGGAGAGGCTCAATGAGGCGGCGGCTAATCGCTATCGCCACCGGGGCCCCGTCGGACTGTCCGGATTCCGCGCAATTTGGGCGAAACGCGAAGCGCGAAGCGATGTGCCGCCAAATGACGCCAAAACGATGCGACCTCGGACTGCGCGCTCGGCCCCCCACAATCTCGCCCTCAAGGATTCAATCTTTCCGCTCAAATACCTGCCAGTTTATCAAAGTCTCGCTGGCTCGCCCCGAAGTACTGTACTTTTGGCTTCGACTGGCGGGAGTGAAAATATATTTTTTCTTTAACTGCCTTCCAGTGGGAAATCGCCTTTCAGATTCCCGCCAGGCAGAGCGGTCGAAAATCGCGTCACAAGGCACTAGACAGCTCTTAAAAATCACGTCGGAGATCTCCACAGGGCACAGAGGTTCGAAATCACAGGTCCAAAACCGCCACTGCCCGCCGAGGCCCCTTCCTACGCCCCTGCCTGCCTGGCTGAGATTGGGGTCCAGCCGTCCCGGCCGGGCTGGGCCCCGGGAGGGGTCTTGCATGGTCCACGACACTGGGCACGGCTGCAGAGAGCACGGCATCGGGCAGGCGGGTACGCCGAGGGGCTCGCGGGGCGCGGAGCAGGGGCTGGCCACGAGTCGTCCTTGACCGGTGACAAAACAACACGGGGAGGGGAGAAAGAGTTTGCCGAGCGGAACACAGCCAGCAGGCCAGCAGACCAGCAGCAAGGGGTGTCACCCAACTCCCCCACCCCTCCCGCGCACCACGGCGCGGCACGGCATTGACATGGACCGAGTCGGGAAGTAGGATGCTGGATCGACGGGGTGCAAACACACACAGACACACACTCACACACACTCGCACGCACACAGCGTCGCATTGACAGTGACCGATATATCTCTTTTATTTACGCTTCGAGGGAAAGAAAGAACAAACAAAGCTGATTTTCATTATTCTGGCGGCGCGGGGCGGGGATTCGCGGGCCGCGGCAGCGCGGAGCGTGCGGCTCTCCTTGTCCTTCTTCTCCCTTTGTTTCTCGTTCTGCTTTTTTGTTGCTTTTGTTCTTGTTGGTTCCCTTTCGAGGGAATACTAATAGACCGCCGCGCCGATGGGCCGGGCCGGCCGGGTAGGGGCGGGTCGCGGCGGCGAGTGTGCACGGAAGTTGGTCCCGCTGATTACTCTCTTTGCATTGCTTTGCATTGTACGTGCCGAGGACGGGTCGTCCTGGCTGGCCGCCACACTGGAGGAGGGAGGGTCCTCCAGCGGCCTCCAGGAGACACATAAGGGGGGCTCTCGCTCGCTGCTCGCCCTGCTCTGCTCCCGCGTCCCCCAGACCCCCACCCCCTTCTCCCGGACCCCGCTCGGCTCGGTTTTCTTCCACAGCCCTCTGACTCTCTGAGGGACGAGTCGCCATCCGTCTCTCGCCGGATATCTCCGGATCACCAGCGGCGCGGGGGGCGCGGGAGAGAGGGGGGGACGACACCCAATCGTAATTTTCACACGCGGTTCAGGGCGCTGCCCCCCTCAGTTATCCAAGTGACGGGCGGACTCATGCAGCGGGCGAACAGAAAGGAAGAGCTCAAACCATATGGTTCAAGGTCCCACCAACCAGGCTCTCTGCCTGAAAATCGTTATAGTTTTTACAACACAAACTTCCCATGGCCGAAAGTTCGGACCCGACATGAAGGTTGAAGAGTGAGGCGTTCGCAGCGAGCAAGCGGAGGGGACGCGGCCGTGGCACACGACGGCCGGTACCTCTACCTGCCTGCCAGAGGACGAGGCTTAAAGCCCCGCCGAGGCATCGCGTCATTAGCACCCGGCAGGCTTCGTCGCGCTGTCTCTCTCGCACTCACGGGGCGGCCCGTCGGGGGGCGAGGGAGACAGCGCACCGCGGGGGAAATATCGCTCCACGCCGGCGGCGGCGGGGGGAGTCGAACCCACGGCAGAAGCAAGTCGCCGGAAGACGAGGCACTCCACTGTACTACCCGCGAGTGTAAGCGGCGCTCTGGGATCACTCAGACAGTAGTCCTCCATCAGCGTGACAGGGCCTTGCAGTGTCGACGCGACAGCAAACGTTTCTCTCTGCCTGTGTGTGCGTGTGTGTGTGCAGGTGTGTGTGTGTGTTTGCGGGTGTGTGTGTGTGTGTGAGAGAGAGAGAGAGAGAGAGAGAGAGAGAGAGAGAGAGAGAGAGAGAGAGAGAGACAGAGACGTGCGTGTTGATTCTTGCTTGTAATTATCCCTGTCTGGTGCTGCATACCGTACGGCTGACCTTGAACGTCGGTCGTGCTGTCTCTGCCGCGATGTGCCTCCAAGCCACCCCCCCTCCCCCTCCACGCTGGAGACGGAGACAGACCACGCACCACGCAGAAACTTAAGCCCGGAGGGGGAGCGTTCCACTCAAGCGTGCTATTGGGATGAGATGGGATGGAGAGTGTTTGGCCTGGCAGGAGGGGTACGCTCCACGGCTCCACACGTGCGGGCGCGGCCGAGCGCGGCGTGCGAGCGGCATGTGTTTTATCCGACCGCGTCCGACCGCGTCCGACCGCCAGGCCCTCCGCTCCACGCGCCGCAAGGGTCGGCCCCCATGCCAAACACTGCGACCCCTTTCCCCTTTTTGCGTCGCCCAAACACAGTGCACGCCCAAAACCTCAACTTTACGCAAGTAACGTGCAAACTGTTTAGTTTGTCATTTACGAAGAATCAGCCCCAAAAATTACCTTTATGCTGGAAATGCTTTGCGAAGCGTCAAATAACCTGCGAGGTGTGGCGAGCAGCCCTGAAAACTCAAGTGTGTACTCAGTACACACATAGAGCTCTTTTATGAGTGTACTTGAGTGCACACTTAATTTTCCAGTGAGTGTCCGCGCCGGGAAGACATAAGCTGTTGAGTGTTTGCTCGAGTTGATGGCCCCGTTACTTGCAGTTGTTGTCGCGCAACAGATGAGACAGAGTACTGCCGAGCGGATGATGGGCGGGCTGCGTGCACGGGCTGGATTGGATGCATTCGCGTGTTCTTTGATTAAGCTGAGGCCGCCCCCCACCACGCCTGCCACGTGGAGGCCAGGCCTCCTGTTTGCGGATTCGGCCGAGAGAGAGAGAGAGAGAGAGAGAGAGAGAGAGAGAGAGAGAGAGAGAGAGAGAGAGAGAGAGAGAGAGAGAGAGAGAGAGAGAGAGAGAGAGAGAGGGGAGGGGGACGCACAGAGGGAGAAACACGCACGCATCACCGCAATATGGGATTTATTTATTGTGGCGTGCCGTTCGGGGTCTCTATTGAGTTGGCCCCGGCAACCGCCTGTTTGCATGTTGCGTCGAAGCGCGAGCAACAGGCTGCTTCCTTTATGACTTTGACATCTGTTAGTATTCGGCACAGAGCATGTCATAGCATGTCCACGCAATTATAGTTTTGTTTCTCAAATATTAGTCTCGCTGAATCACCAAATCCCCTCCTTGCCGTCCCAGTGCAGGAACGCCCCGTGCTGCTCTGGCTTCATGGAGAAGAAGACCGCGAGCATGCCGCTGATGCTCTGCTCCACCGTCAGAGGCGCCTGGCTGGTGCCCAAGTCCGTCTGCACCCAGCCCGGGTGCATGCTCAGCACGAAGATGTTCTGCGGACCCAGTTCGTAGCTCATGGAACGGGTAGCCGTGTTCAGAGCCGCCTGGCAAAGTAACAAGCAAAATCACTTCGGTGCACGGGCCAATATGAATGTGAGGGATGGTCGATGGTCTCACCTTGCTTTCTCTGTACCCGAAGTAGGATCCCAACGTGTTGTTGCCCACGGATCCGAGTCCAGACGACATGTTGATGATTGCAGCGCGGGACCATCCCATGGGCAAATCCGCGTTCGAGTCCGCTGCAAGCTTGAGCAGTGGTCGCAGCGCCTGGGGATGAAATTAAAGCTGACTCGATTAAACGTGGATCGTGAATATAAAACTCAAAGGTACATAGAATTATTTAATCACCTTGACCAGCATGATCGGACCAACAGTATTAGTGACGTACGTGTCGGTCAGACTTTCGACAGTGCAATTAGAAAAGCTGCTGTGATTTTGCAACAAAATACCAGCATTGTTGATCAACACGTTAAGTCCTTTATCACCGACAATGCTTTTGACCGTTTGAGCAAATGCATCGTAGCTACTAAAGTCGTTGACCTCTGAAAAATAGGTAAATTAATAAGTTCACGATTTCTTGAAAAGCTTTCGAAATAATGAGAGGAACCTCCCTCTTACCTAACTTCAGCACGTAGAGTTGAGAATGTGCCTTGGCAAGAGTTTGAAGTGCCTAAAAACGCAGAGGTTATGTCACGTCAAAGTTCCGATTTGATAGGTTCAATTTATGCACATGATCGCAAACACTTACGTGAGCATCTTCTGGCTTTCTGCATGTTGCGATCAGCACAGACGGAGCTTGTGGGTGTAACAGAAGTTGCCTCACTAATTCTAGGCCCAGACCGCGGTTGCATCCGGTAATCAAGACGGACGACATGGTATTTCCGAAATGTCCCTGAATCCAAAAAGGAATACACGCTTATTTTCGGCGCGTATGGAAATGGAATCATTTCGGTTTGGCGAAGATCTGTCACTGAATCCTCAACGCACTCACCTCTTGTAGGAAAAACGCGGGCCGCTCCAAACCTGCTGACCCTCGAGCGAAGACTGCGACACCGGCTGCCGGCCGGCCGTCCCGGCGGGTCCGTTCCAAGGTCCGTTCTTCGCGTGGGAGCGTCAAGTCGACCATCGACCGCTATCGACCATCCGGTGCGCACGCCATGCCCTGAGGCTGCGCCACCACACTCGATCAAAATTTACGGTTGTCCGTCAGACCGTCACCGCAAGCGCGTGATATCTGCTAAATTCAAACAGCACTCAACAGACTTAATCTTGAAGAAAGAAGGTAACACAAAAAGGTAAAAAGCCCAAGGCTCGAGCGCGAGTGGCGCCCCTAGCGGCCTGACTTGGGATTCATGATTGACCAAGGAGTGGGTGCGAGGAGGTGGGGGAGATAAGCGAGGTAGATCAATGCTAGAGGCGGGCTGCGGGCGTGGCGTGTGACACTCCGTTAAAAATAGACAGAGGTCACTCGTCGCGTGCACCTCGCCCACATGTGCTCCGCTCTTCGTCCCGGTGCTTGCGGCGCGAGGCAAGACGGAACTCGAGGTGGGATACAGCGCCTCGAGTGTGGTTTCGCCAGCCATCCCAGTGCGGTGAACGCGTGTGAGGCTGGAGAGCGGAGGCCCTGCCCGATCAGAGGCTTAATCAATCACACACGAGCGGAATGCTGCGCAGAACTTCGGTTACCGCACTATCACAGCACCGACGCCACAGGAGGCTTCACCAACATTCGCGGATCGCAGATCGTCTTCAGAAGCTGAATTCTCAGTATAACATTTCGATGCAAAATCAATGTGATTTTTTTTTCTTCCCACGAAAAGAAGACACTCGAAACAAGCGGATTCCGCTGTTTGTCCCGTGTGGTCGCGCTCCCTGGAAGCCCGCGGCTAAACAAACGACGCAACGTGCCCACCGTCGGCGACCGCCAGCGTCCAGCTCATCAGGCGCGTCCAGCTCGCAAAGAAAAAGGGACCATTGTCGGCAGAGTGGCAGCACTGGCGTGGCCTGGCGTGGCCTGACGGCCGTTAAAGGCTGTCCACAATGCCGCCAACACAGCGGCCCGCGGGGTGGCGCGGGGTGGAGCGGCCTGCCCTTCACCCTACGGCCCTTTACCACCCTTTACTTGAGCCGCGGGGCTAGCCCTAGCCCAACCCTAGCCCTTGGTCTTTCGGCCGCAACAGGTTGGCTGCGAAGAGGCTCCACCATCCACCGCCAGCCACCGCCAGCGACACGCATGCCGGCGGTGGCTGCGGCGGCTGCGGTGGCCCCGGGGGAGGGGAAGGGGGGGGGCACTTTTTACCCCCCCCCCCAACCGCTTTTTGTGGCGTCGCGCGTACCCTGTATGCCAAGAGGATTTCAAGGCCGCGCCACGGACGGCGACGGCGTCGTCAATTTGCGGACGGCACGACAACGACGCTGTCAGGCAGGACGGCCACGGCATGGCCACGGCGTGGACACGGCGCGGTCACGCGGCGACACGGGGGTAAATAAAGGCCATAACTCGGGCCGCGTTCCAGGGAGGGGAGGGACACGGGGCCAGGCCGGCCTGCCCGGCGCACCCGGCCCGGACGCGGAAAGGCAATTAGCACGAACCGCGTCGTCCCGTCCTCGTCAGCGCCTCGTCACCGTCGCCGTCCTCGCCACCGTCTCGCCCTTGTCACCTCATGGCCGTCCTCGGCGCCGTCCTAATCGCCGTCCTCGTCGTCGTCCTCGCCGCCTTTCTCGCCGTGGTCCTCGTCACCACCCTGGCCGTGCGTGTAGAACGCCTCGGCATACGATCATGTGTGGTCTAGCCCGTAATGGTAATGGTAATGCGAGGTAGGCAACACGAGGGCGCTGCGTGCAGCCGTGTTGCGCGGGCTGGCCTACCCTGGACTTCACAGGCGCTCGGCGCGCTCGGCCCCGGGAGAGTGCAGAGCAGAAAGGGTTGCCCTGCCCCGCGGCCCTGCGCTCTGTCTCTCTTTGTCGAAGACCGCTCTGTTGGAGGGCAGACTAAAACGGTATTGGCACAAGTTGTGAACCGAAGAGAGCCGAGGCGAAGCCGAATCGAAGCCGAAGCGAAGCCGAAGCGAAGCCGCGAGAGGGGTCTGAATAGAAATCTGAGGAGCTGAGCTTGGCTCTGCGGCATCAGCGCAAGACTGCACGAGGAAAAGGAGCAAAGGGGGACGGAAATAAAAAGTAAAAACGAAGCCGACTAAGGGGCGGGCGGCGACTCTGAGTTTTGTGCCATCGCGTGTTCGCGTGTTCGACGGATTGGTATGGCTGCGGCGCGTGGCGGTGGGGAGGGGAGGGGAGAGGAGGGGGGAGGAGAGGGGAGGGGGAGGGGAGGCCGCGCCCTGACGCACTGCGAAGCGAAGCGCTGCCGTGCGTGTGGATTATGGCAAAATATTGAGGAATTCAATTTGTGTGAAGCCCGCTCGGCTTTGTTCTCGTTCTCTGCCAAAGACATACCTCGTCCTCCTCGGCCGACGGCGCCGATGGGGTGGGGGTGCGAGAGAGACAGAGCGATGAATCCCTGGGCGGCCCGCGACACGACACGACAACCACCACGACTCTATTCAACGCGCCACGCGGACATTGTTAGGTCCGTGCGTCGGAAAGCAGCGGGTTCGAATTTCACCGCTGCTTTTGCTCCTCCCCGAGCCGTTTTTGTGGGTGTGCCCCGCCGGGCCTGGCCGGGCCCTGTCCGAGGGTCGTCGCTGGCGCTCACTGGCGCCGCCTAGGCGGGCCTGGGCCTAACCTCATCCCAGTGTTGAGGGCCTAAAAATGTAATTTCCCGAGTGTCACCCAGGATGAATCTTTCCTGAGGGACCATCACTTTGCGCGGCCACCCTCCCCCACCTCCGTATTCTTGGCCTTTCCCTTTTGGCGCCGTGTTTGGGACCCCAATGCCCATTCTCCTTCTTCCTGCCGTCCCCGAGGCCCTCCCCGAGGCCGTCCCCCAGCCCCCGGCAGCGGCTTCTGGGACTGCTGGGGAGGCCCCGGCGGTGCTACTTCCGTACTTCCGGAATCGTATGCAAATGGGAAAGGGGGGGGGGACTGCAATTAGGGTCCGTGGTCAGCCTGCATTCCGGCCGCGTTGTTGGCCCTGATCTGTAGGGCCCTGTTGCACCATGCGCAGAGGACTGGTGGAGGCGGCCGAAATTCTAGACGCGTTTTGAGCTCCAGAGTCGCTAAATGGGACTCAAACCGAACGTGTGACCCCACCAATCGATTGCTCTCCAAACAAGGAATCCATTGGTGGGGTCACTCGTTCGGTTCGAGTCCCATTTAGCAGCTCCGGAGTTCAACACGCGCCGAGAGTTTTGTGCACCTCGACCGGTCTTCTGGACCACTGCGCAGCCCCTAGAACAACGTCTGCCACGAAAACAATATCGCTGTCTGGGACCAAGAATCACGAATCCGGAAGGAAAGTTGAATCTGGAGTTTTGCAGTTGCAGCGCAGACGGTCGCCGTTCGCGGGACCCAGACATCTATCTATGTTCAAGGTCGCAGCAGCACAGCCACGGCACTGCCACGGCACAGCCCCGTGGAGAAGCAGCCCCCTTCTCGAGACGTCTAGACGCAACTAAACTACTCCGAGCAAATCATCCTCCACTCCAGATGGCCGATGAAACAAACGGGAAGAGTAAAACAAACGCACGGGGCGCTCCGCCGTGCCCAGGAATTTTTCAATAGACCCGCAAACGAGGCGGGAAGGGTGCCGGCTGCGGGAAGGGGAGGGGGGGGGGGGGGACGCCTCGGCACGTGGAGCGCTAGGCAAGCGCACCGAAAAGCATAAAAAAATAATCACAGTGGCGTTTGAATTTAATGAATTTCTGATCCCGCGAGGGCGCGAGCGAAAGAGAGAGAGAGAGAGAGAGAGAGAGAGAGAGAGAGAGAGAGAGAGAGAGAGAAGAGAGAGAGAGAGAGAGAGAGAGAGAGAGAGAGAGAGAGAGAGAGTTTAATATCGCGCTGCTGCAAGCAAGATGAAGGGAGATGGAAGAGGCTCGCGCCAGGCTCGCGCGGCCCACATAACGAGACAAGTCGGGAATTATTACAAATTGATGCCCGGTCGTTACGCCGTTCCCCTCGGTATCAGTTTTTCTGTGTTTTACCGCTCTTTTTACGTCGCTGTCCCCCGCCATTGTGCATTAAAATGTCGAAACTTCTCTTTGCCGATGTTCTTACGAGAGGGCCGAAGTGCCCGGCCTTGGAACGGTTTTTCGTTGGGTTTCTTATTCCGTTGGCTTTGCTTTGTGTTGGCGACGTGTGCTGTGCGTTTCCGGGACTGGCGACACCAGTGTCGTGAAACATACACCAGAGTGACCGCTCGACTTTGAGACAGCCGGCCAAACTTTGCGCTAAGTATACTCCTCGCGTCACGGCCGTGCTGCCGCTGCCGCCCTGTCTGCCCCCTGGTCTGCGTCTGCCCCCGGGGCCCGGGGCCCCGCCAGACTCCCCCTCCGGGCCGCTGCGCCGCCGCTCAAACTTTGTGAGCCCCGTCTCCCGGCCCGCGGCCCCCGCGGCCCCCGCGGCCCCGGGCTGCGAGGTGCCACCCAGCCCGCGAGGCTTGCCATCCCTCACCGCAAGGGACCGCCAGAAAAACACGCCGGTCCTTCCGCGGACAATTTTCCAAACCGCCGCCTACACTGGAAATCAGTGCAGCGGCGGCGGGCAAGTTCGGGCCAAGTCCGTCGCGGAGGAGGGGTGGGGGGCGTGGCCGAGGCCACCCCGTGGGCCCCGTGGGTCTGCATGTCAATATCTGCGGTTTCATTTCAAACTCGCACGGTAGTTTAAGTGGTTAAGGACGTGCCCCCGGGGGGAAGTGGCGCGCAAGCACGTCCAAGTATGGACCCCTGGCCCTGGCCACCCCGGCCTGCAGGCTGAGCGGGGACTCGTCGCGCTGTCTCTCACTCGTGGGGTGCCCCTGGAGTGCGAGGGAGACAAGCAGAGCGACGACAGCACCGTTCGGAATAATCAGTCTGGAGCCGCAAACCCGTTAGCGGGCGGCTCGGCGTCCCTGGCCGCCCCACCCGAGGGGCAGGCCGCAGGGTGGTGCGCCAGCCAGGGCCCCCGTGGGGTAGGGCCCCCTTGGGGTAGGCAGCCCCGCAACAGTGCGGCCGGTTGCCTACCTCACGGGGTGCAGGCGTTGCGGGAGGCTTGCTTCGCAACAGTGTGGCGCCCCGCGGACAACGCAGCCGAAGACGGGGGGTCGTCCGTCCGCTAGTTTCAGGAACGGAGGAATAGGACAAATTACGCGCCACGCTAATTGTCGCGCTTCAAGTCCAGACCGCCCATGCGCTGCGGCCGCCGCCAAAAGTCCGCCCGTCGCCGGGGGCCGGGGTGCAGTCTCACTCTCAATTCGATAAAGGTCCGGGCTGCTGCCGCTGCTGCAGTTTGGGGACGTCCAAGAAGCAGACGAAGCTACCTGGCGCTGGCCGCCGCGGCCGCCCTGGCCAACCCCCCTGCTCCTTGGAGGGGGGCGGGGGGACCGACAGCTGCAGCTTCCAGAGGCTCGCAGAGGCCCCACCCGGGCCGTATTGATTTTCTGCTCCACCGCGCCCCCCGCAGCCCCCCGCCGCGGAGCCCCTTCCAGGCGGCCGTCGCCCCCCCCCCCCTCTTTCCCCTCCCCCTGATCCGCCTCGCGCCCACTCGCGCCACCGTTCTACTACGCGGTTGTACTCGAATTTACTACGAGAGTTCCACGCCGTGCCCTGACGGGGCCCCGCGGTCGCCCCTGCCCGCCCCTGCCCCTCCGCGCGGCCCTGCCTTGGCCCTGGCTTGGCCCTACCAGCCAGCTTGGAGCCAAGGCGACCCCCCACCCCCACCCCCGCCCCCTCTGAGGTGTCCCAGCGCCTTTCCGGCCCCATGCGCCGTCAGCAGTGGCTACACTGCTAAAAACGAAAAACACGCCGAAAATGTGTCCGGTTGCTACTCCCAAAAGACTGTTTTATGAAAAAAAAATTTAAATACTTTTTTGCGTGAAAAAGGGGTAAAAAAATAAAGATTTTTGTAGCTTGTTGACATGTTTTTCGCGTGTACAACATTCCAGTTTAAAGAGACCCAACACGATTTATTTTTTTAAATGGAAGAGCTGCACGACGTACTCGTTGGGGGCTCGTAGGATTTCCGAGTACCCGAGTCGGCCGGCCCTTCTATTCGGCGCGACTAAGTGGGGCCAGGCCACTGCAGGGGGAGGGAAGGAGGGCGACAAAAGACCTGCGGGCTGGGCTTTGTCGAAGGGTGCCGCCGCCGTCCGAACCATAACGGCGAAGGGCGGTCAAAGGCGGGCTAAAGAGCTCTTTAGCAGTGGCGCGGGCAGGCCGGACCAAAAGGGCTGGCCGAAAGGGCCGGCCCTGCGGTCGCAGTGAAGGGATTGGCCGAAATCCCCGCTCGGCGTGTCCCGGCCGCAGAGAATCCTGTATCGAACAGGACATTAAGTCGGACAAGCGGTTGTTTCGCACTCCGACCACATACGGGCAACACACACACACAACTCTCACAATCGCACACCATTCTCTCTCTCTCTCTCTTTCGCTCTCTCAGAGCGCCGGCTGACCCCGCCCCTCCGGAAAGTACAGCCAGTCGTAGTGGCGGAAAGCGAGCGAAACAACGCGGTGATTCCGACCCGGGGGTCCTGGGGGCCCTGGGGGTCCTTTGGGGGTCCGTGAGGTCCTACACGGCTAAGCGGCCCCGTCCCGGCCATAAATCCCCCGGGACTCGCTCCACTCACACACACTCACTCCAGCCAGGCGGGCTGGCGCAAGGGCTGGCGGTAGTGCGGTGGAGGCGCCGGACAAAGACAGCAGTGCGACGAAGACGGAGAAGCCGGGGGAGGCACGGACGAGCACGGGACAAGCGGTACAAGCCTCCAAGCAGCCCGCTAAGGGCAGCCCGGCGGAACACCGAGGAAAACATTGGACAGGGCGCCCTTCTGAGGGCCAGGGCCAGGGAGCTGCCGGCTACTTTTGAGAAGGACTCTCAGCTGTCTCCTTCGCACGCGCGGGGCGTTTCATGGGGGTGCGAGAGAGACAGCGTGGCGGAACCATCGCTAGGGATCCAGCTTGCACTAGACTGATTCGCTCTGTTTCCCTCGCACCCACTCGGAGGGCTTGGTGAGTGGGAGGGAGACGCAGCGAGGACTCAGGATGAGGTAACAGGACTGCCGAGTGGCCTGGCAGCCTGGCAGCCCAGCCGGGCCCATCCAGGTGGCGAGTGACGCCCTCTCTCCGAGTAACAGGCTTACATAACCCGCTGGAGCCGCGGGGAGGGTGGGGGGCGCCTGAGGCGAAACGAGAAGCGGGGGAGCCGAGCAGAGCAAGCGGAGCCACGCCGGGCCAAAAATGACGACAGCCAGCGGCCCAGCGGGGCAGTCGGAGGCAGGAATAGAGGGGAGGCTCATTCCGGAGACTGCCGCCGCCGTCGCTCTGTCTCCCTCGCACCCGCAGGCCCGCGGGGCGCTCCGCGGGAGTGCGAGAGAGACGGAGGGCACTCGGAATCAGCCCTCAGGGGGGAAGGAACCGGAGGAATAAAAAGCAAGAGGCAGGCGCCGGTCGGGGCACCGAGGTATGTGAGGGGGAGGGGCGAGAGCTCCAAGGAATGCAGCAGACAAACGAAAAAACGAGCACTTTTCGCAACAGCGGAGCGACAGAGCGAGGGGTGGAATAGCGCCGGGAGGTGCCGGGAGGTGCCGCGGCAAAGCGGATGAAGATGAGAGGCCCCGGAGAGACAAGTCTGGGAACATGAAAAGCCTTCTTCCTGCCTGAGAGGAAGGCGGCAGCTCCGCTGTTTGCAGACGCTATATTCCGGAGGGGCTCCACGGCGGAGGGCTCTTTTCGTCGCCCTGCCTCTCTCGCACTCACGCTCCGTCCCGTCAAGGTGCGAGGGAGACAGAACGGCCAAACGACTCCCCGGAGTCGCTCGGCAGTGCACTCCAATTATCTCGCCGATTTGGCGCCCGTGACCGAGGCGGCCGAGAGGATGGGGACCTCAAGGAGGGGGAGGGGATGAAGCCGCCCGCTCCGCCTGAGTCCGCCTGTCCGCGCTCCGCAGCCCCGCCTGTCCGCGCTCCGCGCCTGTCTGCTGGCAGATAGGCAGCGCGTCGTGCGGCCTAGCGAGGCGTGTTGCCTATCTGTCGGGTCACAGGCGCTGGGCCTAGGCGCACCGCGGACCGCGGCACGGCGTGCCACGTGACGGGCCGTGACGAGCCTTGACGCGCCGTGACGGGCGTGTCACGCCGAGCCAGCCATCAATCACAGCACTGTGGGACGGCCTTGCTTGCCGGGCTGGTCGGGCTTGCTCCCACTCTAAATGGGGTGGCACAATTTTCCGCCGCCGAGATCCAATTTCGTGGCGGCTCCACCCCATCAGCACATCGCGGGTACGGGCGAGACGCGATTTGTCACCGAAACGGAGACGAGTGCCGCCCGATGAGGATGGAGATGGAATGGCTTCGCGTCTTCATTAGTCCGTCAGGGATGGGACGGACAGGGGGTGAAAATGGGACACTATTTCACAGGATTCACCATCTTACCAGTTTAAAAAGTCATGCCGTGTCAATGTGATGTGTGTACCAGTACAAAAGGGTTGCCAACCTCAGCCTGCCCACTTGGAGGAACGTATCACTAAGTCCTACACATTGTAGGAAAAGGGAAACTTGAAAAGACGCACTGCAGGGAAGAGTTGCTTGGTTGCAGCAACCAATCAACAAATTTATATAGTAATTACAAAGAATCCTTGCCTCAAAATTTTACAGTCTATATCATACTTTAAACAAGATCAGAGATGACAATGTAATAATACAACTAGTTAATTTGATTCTGCCTTCACAGCGTGAAGCGCATAATTAATTTTGACATTCTTAGACCACTTCCACTCATCAGTTAAGGGGTTGTAGCACATCCCATGGATAAGCTTGGTTGAGCATCCACCTTAAAGATAAATAAAAACATCAACACTGTAAATATTCAGTTACCTTGCAAGAAACAAAAACTCAACAAAACATCATACTCACATTTTTCAAGAATGTCTTGAAGCTCTACAGGTTGAATAAACAACTCCCATTGGTGAGTGCCCTTGGGAACTAGGTTCAGCAAATGCTCTGCTGCGACAATTCCACCTAGCCATGACTCCGTTGTGCGATTCAAAGTTGTAAGAAAGATAGAACCCTTAGGCTAAAGAACAAAAAAGATAAAAAACCTGTAAGCTTAGAGTAAATGACAATTTTAAATGAATGAATACATCATAAAAATTAGACAAGAACCTTTAATAGTTTGACACATTGCTCGAGAAAAAAGTTTTTGTCATGAATATGTTCAATGACTTCTGATGACACAACAGCGTCGTACTTTTCAGGCGCTTCACAGACATGTGTTTCTGCAGCCGTATGAATATAATTAAGTCGACTACCCAAGGCTGGATCCAATTTTGCATGGCGCTGTGCCACTTCAATCAAATCAGCGCTTGCATCAATGCCAGTTACTGACGCGCCTAGTCTGGCGAGAGGCTGTTCATGTGCAACACAATGGTAAGACAGAGGAAACAATAAGGTAACTTAAGCACTCAATACAAAGAAGAAATACATACCTCAGAAAGTAATCCTCCTCCGCATCCAACATCAACAATTTGAAGACCCTCAAGAGGTCTTGGAGTGTTTTTCTTATGTGAATCAGCAGCACCTGTCTGGAACAATCCATCTCGAATCAGGGGGACTCTGGGTAAAAAAAGTAGAAAAAAAAAGCTCATTAAAATGAACACAGAATTCAAAATATCCAGTAACACTGAAGATGCTCACCTAAGGGAATTCATGGAATGTAGTGCTTTCAAAAATCCTGATCTGTCCCACCAATCATCTGCGAGTTTACCATGATGACTAACAGCTGCCGGATCAACAGTTGTCTGTGAACGTTGATTGCGTCTGAAGACAGATGAACTTTCAGCAAACCTAAAGTTAATGGTCTGTAACAAAATTGTATTTTTTTTAAAAAGAATGAAACCACAGTTACCTGTAAAGCTTGTTAAACTAATGTTAAAAAAAAATAATTAAATACCTGTTACATTGACTGAAAAGAACACTTTTAAGATTGGCTGTACTTGATGTCACCAGAGTACAGACAGACATTTTGAAAAACGAAGGTCCCAACTTTCAGAGTCACCTGGATGCAAAAAAATACATTAAGAAATTGACCACTAAAATTACATATTTCTTCTGTAAATGAACCGCTTACAAGGAAAAAGCAAAGTGGTAAGGTTAAGTCTTACAATGTACACTCACAAAGAAACACTGCTGTCACCTACGCAAGAAGAATGAACCATATGAAATTCTTCACCTCAAGAACATAGTGAGGGTAAAATACTTTTGAAATCTACGTCTTTACTGCCGACTTCTTAGAATAAAATGTCTTTTCAGCACCTAAACAAACTAGCAGAAGAAAAGAAGCGGCTTTCTACCGGAACAACCCAACGGTGCTAAGTTTACCGCACAGAAAGCATGTCCACAAATCGTCATTCAACAGAAAACTAATACAGTACGTTAAAATTGGTTGGGTTCAAATCTGAAATGAAAATTCCCCAGTAAGAAAATACGATTGATGTTCGAAATGTGCATCCGAATCCCACATTTTATTGTGCGCACGCTGGTCACAATGCTTGGCAAACAATAATAACAAAATGGCCGTTGTTTTCTTCAAGAACAACATGGCGTTTTTATTTGTATGTTCTTAATTTTTTTAAGACCACATATTGAAACTATCTCTAGTTGGAGCAAATTGTGGTTTTGCTCCGGATATTTCTATTTATTTTGGATTATCCTGGAGATTAGTGATCGTCTGTGGCTGCTTCGGGGCTTGCCTCGGATTGAATACACCTGCATGTAAATCCACACAATACACAAGGTAAAAAGCTGTCTGATCGGTGTTTATTGGTAAACACTAATCTCAAAACATTATGGTACTTTTATATTGAAATTTCATTGTTAAGTTTTGTCTTAACATATTCTAAGGAACATCCATTCTAAATTCCAGAAGACATGCAACCTAACCAATCTGCCGTGCTTGTTGTTTTTAACATGAACTGGCCCTTTATCATTTAACTGTGATTATATTTTCCATTATTTTTTTTTGTAGGAGTCACAATGAAGCGTCGTGATGGATCGACTCGGAGACAAGTTTTGGATATGGACCATTCGTCTTCATCGTGGAAAAGTATAAATCTTTTAATTTCAGTAATTTTGACGTAGAATATTATCAGTCTATTTATTTATGGGTTTTTGTTTCGCTTTTCAGATAAATATTCAAATATTGCTCAACGCAATGTAAATGGGTCTGGTGATAGTTCTTCCAATCCTTTGTCAAAGCTTGTTGGGAGTTATGCATCTGAATCTGATGAAGATGATGATAATTCAAAGAATAAAAATACACTTGATGCAAAAGTAGAGGAGTTCATGAAGGTTGGTCAAAATTTCTCAAATATTTTTGGTTTTAGTTCTATGGTAAATTGCACTTATAATTTGTTTATTGTTAAGGAGGTTGAATCAACCAAAACCAATGAAGATGTAAGCAGCATTACTTGTGGTAAGTTGTTGATCTGTCACTCCTGTGGACAAGATGAATTTAGAATTAGTTTTAATATTGCTTTGTGCATTGATTCAGCTTGGCAGGAATGCCATGACAAAGATACTGGATATCCATATTATTGGAATATGAACACCAATGAGGTGACATGGGAACCACCTCCAGAACTAGTTGCCTATCAAGCAACTCTGACAGCTAAAATTGCCCAGACACAAGCCAAAGTCAAGGCGCAAGCTCAACAAGCTCAATGGGCTGTTGAGCAGGCAGCTCTAGGTATAACTCCTGAGTACCCTCAAAAGAGAATTCCAAGTAAGACAAAGTTTAATCAAAAGTAACATGCTCTTTCTCTTATCCTGTGATGTTTAAAAATATCTATCTATCTCTGCAGCAGCCGTACAGACTCTTAAGAAACCACCCAAGAGTACTCCACCACCAATTCTTCCACAGTCTACTAAAGGTAAAAAGCAGAAGCGAGTACCAAACAGACCACCATCTAGTGAATCAGATGATGAGTAAGTGTGGTGTTTTTTTTTTTTTAAGTCTTTTAATGCCATTTTAGCCTCTATTATGCTGTTAATAATATTCTATCTTTCTCCACTCCTACAGAAAAATTGAAATGATTACATCATGGGTTGATGAAGAGAGTGAAGATGAGGATGAACCTCCTGTTAGTGGGAATCATGCTGTTGAAGACAAGAAGAAAGTCAAAGAAACTGCTGGACCGCAAACAAAAGCTCCAGCAAGCTCACGTAAATCTGTAAAACCACCAAAACCAGGGCCTCTACCTAATGTTATGTTTGGTCCACAATTACCCTCAAATTTGCCAGTCACAGCTCCCAGTAAAATCAGATCTGGGAGTCGAAATGGATCAACAGAAGACAATGAAGTAGAATCCAAAGTAGTTATCCAGAAACTAAGACGGCTCAAAACAGAGTCTGATGTAATTGTAGGCACAAGGGAAAGGGTCCCAGTGCGAAAATCATTGGACAGAAGTAGAAGTGGTAGTCCCAATGATCGCTTGACTTTGAAAAATAGAACAAGACTTCATGATGGTGACAATGAGCACCTTTCTGAGAAATCTCTTTTAAGCAAACTAAGTAAACAAGTACAGATTTTAAAAGACTTAGGTGGCAGTGTACCTGCTGACATAAAAGATTTACTAAGTTCTTCAACAAAGTCTTCCATAAATTCAGCTGACAACATAATTGCTATGATTGAGATGGAACAACCCCCAGATCATAAACAAGATGTTAATTTTCTATCGTCATTGAAAGCAGCAGAGCACAGAATTCAAAGAGAAGTGCAGAAAATCCAAGCAGACAAACTTGTTAATGGCAGTGAAAAGTCTAGTAAAAAGGAGCAAAAACCTTCTTCATTTGCCTTGATTGCTGGTTATGGTGATGATTCTGATCAAGATGATGCAGCAGACTCAGATACATCGGTGCACTCTGCCAAGGTAGAAAAGCCTTCCAAGGAGAAGTCTTTGTTTCCCATCTTGGGCCATGAAGAAAGTTCCAAAGAAGATGTGAAGACTGTTCCGAAATTTACTCTTGGTGCAGACTCTTCAACTTCTAAAGCCAATTCTGATAGTACATCAAAGCCAGCATTAGTTCTTGATGCTGGTGTTGGCCAGAAACGTAGAAAGAGGCTTGACATTGGAGCAATCCTCCCTCAACCATTACCCAGCACAAGTAATTCAACCAATGTTTCCAATGAAGAGAATTCTAAATCTACACTTTTAGCAAAAGGGACAAGTGAAGTCTCCTCTGGGACTACTAGTTACACAACTGTTTGGTCTAGCACTTCCACATATGCAAGTGACCCTACTGCCAATGATAGGCGAGGGTTTGGTTTTCCAGTTGTGCCCTGTGATGAAGAAGAGCCAATTCCTTCTAATACATCTTCTAACACTAATAAACCCAAGAAATCAAAAATTCAATTTATTAAGGCAGAAACCATAAATAAGCAACAAGATGACAGTACAAATGTGAGGGAGAGTGGGAAGGATCTCAACTCAAAAAGTAAGTCTCCTCAACTTTGTTTAGAGTGCAATTTAATCTCTTGAAGCTAATTGTGAATATTTGTTAAAATATTTGTTTCTTTAATATTTGCAGACACAACTAGCAAATCTCGGGAAGATGGAGAGCTTCATCGCAGTTTGTCATCTTTGGCTCAGCTTGTGAAAGCAAAGCTCCAGTTTCTCAGTGAGGGCAAGGAACCAGTGTCCCCCGTGCAAGCTATGGCCATTCAGATTGAGGTTCGGGTGTATCATTATTGTGTATATTGAATAATATTTCAAATCACTTAATTGATTTCTGGCCCCCCTCTTTCTTTCTCCTATTTACCTTCTAGACCTTGGTGTCAGCGTGGAATGCTGGAGCTCTTACCAATGCCTTTCTTCAACGCTGGCTGCAGAGCACGGGGGCTGAACTGGTCCAATTGGAACGCGCTGCTGCTCCTCAGGGCTGGGCCGTGCAATGGGATAGGTACGATATTGCTGTCACATGAACATTTCTGTGCCATTAACCCAACCAACCAGCGCTAGTTTCTCCCTCACATCCTACTAGTCCTGTCAGAGTGAGAAGGTAACTTGTGGGAGCCATTCAAGATAACTTCGGACCCTGCTCGCCTCAAGTACCTGCCTCTCATGAGGAGGAATTGCAGTCTACCTATGACCAATGGCTGTGACCAATGGCTGTGAGTATAGAACTAGGCAGTGCTAGAGTTGGGAAGTCATGCTTCAAACATCAACCTAATTAAACCAAACACCTGAAACTTTAAGAAGTATTTCAATTTGTGAAGGTCTTAGCTTATCTTATGTTTGTTAATAGCTATCAATTTAGTACAATTAATTTTAGTAATGGTCTCATGTTTGAGGCAAGAGTCTCTCAGCTCTGCACTGCATTACCTATAGGACCTGTGTTCCTAAATGGTACAACATATTGGCAGGTCATCTGTTTACCCTCTCCAAGAAGAACAAGCCTGCTGCTATTACCACCATGAAATATTCAAATCCTGAAGATTATTTTGCTATCAATTTAATGTAAATGTTTCTATGCTTTTTCTCTGGCAAAGGATTTGTACAGTTATGAGATTGCTTGTGAAAGAAAGAAAGACATATTATGCTGGCAAATGCACTTTATTTAAGGTAATTAGTGTGCTTTATAAACTAACAGCAAGCCACATTCAGAAATCATTGTTATTAAAAGTCTATCTTGCCACTTTGTATTTCTAAATGCTCTAATACGTGCCAATGTATTGTTTGTAAGTTACATTATACTGCTGCATAACACCATGCTGAAAGTTTATGATGTGTTTCTTACTAAGCTTTGCTTTCTTGATTTTTTATTTTTGGGTTGTAAGTTAGTAAGTGGTGGTGGAGTGTAGCCCTGTTTCATTGATGTTGATTAAGATGCCTCTAAATTACTAGCTATTATTGTAATACTAGGTAAATTATCTTTTATCTGGCAAACTGTATGGCCTTTTTTTTGTTTCGAATACACACTCAAGATAGCTAAGGGTTCTCTTATTGTTAATTGGGGGAAAAAATGCCTCATAGATTTCATTTTTTTTTGTTTGTTCTGTGAATCAGATTATTAGGAACCTAGAGGAGTTTCATGTTACTGGTCATGAAAAGTGTGCATCTGGTTCTCAATTTCATTGTTGAAGACACACTTCAGTCTGAAAATTTTAGCTTGCTGGAAAAAACATTTTTTTGCAGTCCATGTCTTATCTTACTCATGGAGACACCAAGGGTGCTCAACTGTGCCATTTCGAGATTTATGCTTTGATCTGTTGAACAGGTACAACATGGGGCACCCACTACCTGGGCTGTGCTGTGTGTTGAACTTCATCAGTCAGCACTTTCTTGCTTGTCGGCGCTTTCATCTGACTATCTTTCTGTTTTGATAATTTTGTGAGTCCTTGGCAAAGCCTTGGATAGTAATCCATGTGCTTGGACATTAAAAAATAAAAACTTGTGAAGCGCAGGTGTATATGTGTCTATAGAAGAAGGGAAAATATGATCCATATAAGTCTTCAGTTTATGTTTCATTAGTGGCATTGTTTGGTTTTGACTTATAGTTTAGCCTAAATTTTAAACTGACCCTTCATCAAGTTCCAATCTTGGTGATTTATGACGCTTGGTAAAGTTTTGAAAGCTACAAACCAAAGTAAAGAAATAATCTTGATATTTTTAAATGTGTCTTTCTTCCAATAGCCTTCTCTTGCATATTGCTTTGGTATCTTTTTAATTGCTTTTATTTAACAGATGGACCAAAAGTTATGATTTTTGTGGTATGCTTCACTTTAGTGGTGTGTGAAGATGCACCTTTCCCATCCCCAAATTTGTCCTTTGTTTTCTATTTGTTTTCGTTTACTGATAATTTATCAAACAGCCTTATCTAGATTTTGGCTAAATTTTGAGTTATGAGAAACGTTAATGGGGAATTTCAAGCTAAATCCATCGTAAATAAGTTATCTATCAGATAAATTTAGGACTTCCCCCTTATCAGTTCACAAGCATGATTTCAGTTTTGTTTTGTGCAAATTCCTTAATTTAAAAAAAAAAAAAAAATGCTTAGTGTGATTGATGGTTTGATTTCTTGATGTCACCTGTTCAATGCTCCAACACTTGGTACCTTTTTTTTGCCATATTTTATTTGAAGTAATAAGTATTTCTGCTAAGTGAATCAGCTAACCTATATATACTTTTAAGACTTTTACATTTAACCTCAGCACAAAGTTTTGTGCTACTGGTTTTTCTGAACCCAAGCTTCTTTTTCAATTCTTGTTTTCTTTTTCTGTCTATCTGCCAATTGGTGGATGTGCAGGGAGTACAAGCGGTATTTTTACTGCAACCTGGCCACCAAAGACACCCAGTGGGATTATCCTCTTGTACCGGAGGATGGGCATTCCAAGCCTGAAGAGCCCGAACCATCAAATGCTAAGCCGCAGTCCAGAGTGGCAACACCACCACCAGATGATGAAGATGCCATGGAGCTGTGCACCACTCCACCTCCGGAGGAAGAAGCTGAGATAGGAATCCCTCCACGACCTTGTAGTCCCCCACTTGAAGCACCCCCATGTAAGAGGTCAAAGACTGAAGATGAAAGTGGTGAGTTCTCTTTGTAACGAATCTCAATCATTTGCCTCTTTAGACGTTCGCTTATTTCTCCTGTTTCTGCTCCTCTCCAGCCGATTCGAACGACATCCCTGAGCATCCGTCAGCCCCTCCCGTCTGCCCGCCCCTGCCATCCACTCCACCACCCCCGCTGCCGTCGACTCCTCCTCCCCCTCCGCCGCCCCCGGAAACACCCCCGCCGCCCCCTCCGGGCACACCCCCGCCGGGCACGCCGCCCCCCGCGACGCCGGCCGCCTCGCGGGTCTTGGAGCACGGTGAGCCCCTGCCCCCGGGGGTGGACAGCCCCGACGTGCCCTTTATCGCAGTGCGCCCCGCCATGCCCCCCACCCCCCTGGCCCTCCCCGTGTCTGCAGACCTCGCCCCCCACATGGACCACCTGGAGCACATGGACCACATGGGCGTGCTCAACCCCATGCAGTCGCTGCACCCCGGCTCCGTCCTCGGGGTGCCCGTGCTGTCCGGCGTCCCCGGCATGGCCATGCAGTACACTGGCGGCGTCGCTGTGTCTGGCTCCTATGTCGCCCCTCCCCCAACGGAGGCCATGCTGGCTTCTTTCAACCATGCAACTGCTGTAAGCCTCACTCTTTTTCCTTCACGGTACCAAAGGCCTAGGTAGTTGTGCAGTTTAACTCATCTCATTTCTGCCCTCAGGTGGATTACATGGGGTACATGGGTGTCTATGCTGGTCCTGCGGGCCCCATGCCTGTCACCAGTGTGGCTGCACCCCCTTTGGCCTACACTGGACCAGCACCGCAGCCTCCAAGTCATCCCCCAGTGCACATGCCTCATCGCAAAAAGGAAGCGCTTATGTCTGAACTCAGTTCATTTTATTCTGACCTTGCCTCGATGGATTCAAACTCAAGAGATGCTACAGAGGATGATACATCTCAGGTATGTGTTTTTTGATCTGTCAAAGACCCAAGTTCCTTTTAAATTTTGTCTTGTGTTAACCCAGCGTTGTAAATGATGGTTTACTCTCTTCTCAGGATGCTGCTGAGCATTCAAGAGTCAAGACTTCAACACCACCCGTACCTCCAGCACCTGTCCTGAATCCAACAGTAGAAGAGGTCCCCAAACAACCACTCCCTGAAGCGCCCTTAAAAAGTCAAAGCTCAATTCAAGACTCAGAGGGTGCATTGACTAAAAAGAAGAAAAAGGTCAGTTTTCTTTTTTTGGTTGCCACATTTGAGTGTATGACCAGTCAGTAATAAAATATTCTTATTTCAGACAAAACTCACTCCAGGACTAACACTGAAGAAAAAGGGGGTTTCAAATCTTGTAGCTAAATGGCAGCAAGTTCAACAAGAGGTCTGGAAGGATTATGAAGATGAGGAGGCTGTCGAGTAATAAGTGTAAATGTGTACAAGTTGTCAATAAATTGTTAGTTAATTTCATCATTAATGACAGAGCAATTATTTATGACCAGTACTGATCTTTTTTGAACTAAATGTGCAATTAGATCTCTTCATGCATTTTACACCCTACTGGGCAGAGGAATAACTACTAAAGGAAGAAGGGTTTCATTTGAAAGAGACTTGAATGAAATTGGACACTTTAATCAAAACAAAGTAAAATTATACATGTAAGAGTAAAGTCCAATTTACGCCACTAACGCGGAAGCTGTGCTAGATTCATATTTCCAGTTGGGGGGGAGGATACCCTTCTTCTTGTAATACCGGGCCAGCCTGTGGATCCTTGATTCGACGAGAATCAGACGGAATTTGGAGTCCTTGTCCTTCCTGTAATCAAAGGAACAACACAAATAAATATACAAGCGCACAAATAACACACAATCAAAAAATGATGAAGAAAAACACTTGCCTGTTCCTCTCAAGATGCTTGCGGATGGCAACAGCCTTCTTGATAAGGTAGTAAAGGTCCTCACGAAGATCAGGAGCGGTTCCCATAGCCTTCATGATTCTGAGAATCTTAGTGCCAGTGACAAATCTAACCTGAGCCACACCATGGGAGTCTCGGAGAATGACACCTGTAGCAATAGTTAGGTTAGCACAAGAACAGATACAAATACTTCACAACAGCGTAACAGTAAGGAGACTTGACATACCAATCTGTGATGGGGTAAGACCCTTCTTGGCAAGCTTCTGGATCTGGTCCTTAACATCATCGGAGGTAAGCTTGAGCCAGGTGGGGACTGTGCGGCGGTAGGGCAGGGCACTCTGGGAGATACCCTTACTGCAAGGAAAGAGGAGATACAATCAGAAAAGTGTGACAATTGACAACAACTAATTTAGGGGGTTTCGGAAGTACACAATCGCGATTAAACAAGCAAAATAGTCGTTCAAAAAATTTAGACGTCCTCGGGAAGATTGAATAGAAGAGCAATAGCACGAAAGTGCGGCAGTAAATGACGAGTGTAAACGAAGCCAAACAACAGTACAATGAAGTCTGTGCATAACCTAACCAAACCGCTAGGTACAATGCCGGCGGGGACTTGTTGCGAGGACTTGCTCAAGTACGGAGATGGTATTTAAGCGGTCGTATGAGTTTACTGACAACAAGACATTGAGATTAATTGAGTACTCGGCGATCTTAACAGGATTTAAACATCACACACACGGGAAGAAGCAATGCCACGCGGTGGACATGCATAAACAAATGTATTTACTGAACAGTACTTCAGGAGCTAAGTCTAGAGAAGTAGCAATTTATAGGCCTAAAAATTCCTCTCGTAACGGCGAAAAAGAAATTATTTAGATAATTAATTACCCAGGTGCGTGCATACGACCCATGGCGAATGTATAAAAGTACACCAACGCACGGAGACACAACTGCGAAAAGGAAACTGGAATGGCCGAACCGGAAACCGTCCTCAACTTCTTTTCCGTGTTCTTCTTACTTCAGTGGTCAGAAAAGGTCTATGTTGGTTCAGAAATGGTTTCACACGCCACATTTAAATAATTTCAGTCAATACTTGTTACCAATTTTCACTGCTTGATTTTCTAGCAAACGAACGAGACAAATCTTTCGCTATGTTATTTTCAAAAATGAAAAATACATTTAAAGGCAGAGATGCGCTTGCGTGATTTAGGAAGATACCCATATGTTCTTGTTTTTCAGGTGCTTTGCCAACGTCAAAAACTAAAAATGTTTTTCCTTGGCAGATATTTACCAGTATTAAATGCTATTTAAGGAGAGGATTGATTTTTTACTCGTTAAAATATTTTTTATGGCATTTTTACGAGCGGGCTTGAATTACTTGGATGAAAAAATATCTGGTGCTTCTTGCGCATTGTGGTAACGATTGTCCCAAGATTTTGATTTTTCATAAGCGACAACAACAGCAAAGAAAAATTGCGCTGGGCCGTAAACAAACTTGCCCAACCTCAACTCAACTTTGTGCAGTGATCTGGACATTGGTGAATTGACCAATTCTCGAAGAATCAAGCTCTGCGCCATGAATTCAAGCCAGAACAAGACTGACAAGCGGGAAATCGAAGCCTTGGAGGCCGCTGAGACGAAAAGACCGTGCTCTGCGAATGATAGTGGGGCCAGCGATGCCGGTGATGGGCAGGACGACAGTAGGCGGACCACCCGTCGCAAAAAGGGCAAAGTAAGTTTCAGGCGTCTTCAGGCGTCTTATGACAGAGACTTCGTCTCAAAAGTGGCATGATCATGTGTTGAATACTCTCGTTGAATTTGCCTTTGTGAAGTTATCTTAACCTGCTGTATTTCACATGACTGGAGCAGTCTGTTTTGCATGTCAAGTTTTACCTTGCTATCCTTTTGTTATGTTTATGTTTGAATGTGCTATGGAATTCTCATGACAGTCACAACACACCTGAATCTGTTTTAACTTGCTATTTTAAAATTGCAGTCCAGTGAAGATACTGATTCTAAGGCGTCAAGTGAAAAATCTGATAAAGGCAAGGTTGATCCGATGAAGAAGGACCCAGACTCCGCCACAGTTTTGAACACTGTCAAATCTGAAAAGGATGATGATGGAGAACAGGATTCAGAACAAGATGACCCAACTGGTGTGTCACTACCTGGTAAGAGGCCATAGAATATTGCCCTGACTCCTATACTTCAGTAATTGATTTTTCATACACTTATCTCATTTATTCCTCAGGTCTCGAAGGAGCAGCTTTCCAAAGCCGTTTGCCGTTTGACAAAATGACAGCAACAGAAGCAGCTTGCTTTCCTGACGTGTCTGGAGGCCCACCTCAAACACAAAAAGTTTTTTTGCACATAAGAAATCGACTGGTATGTGTTTACCTGTGACCAGCACCTGTGTACATACTCAATTAGTGTATTTTCACTATCTTATTAAAATCGGGTTCCTTTTGTTTTTTACAGTTGCAACTCTGGCTGGACAACCCAAAGCAGCAGTTGCTCTATGAGAACGCCCTTCCCCAAGTGGAGGCTCCTTATAACAGTGATGCCCCATTTGTGATGCGCGTCCACAGCTTCCTTGAGAGACACGGCTTCATAAACTTTGGCATTTTTAAACGCTTGAAAGTAAGTCTTCTATAAAGTGCTGAGTCTCATTCATTGGTTGAAGTCTAAACCAGTGGATGAATGGCCATCATGATATCATAGTAAAAATTTTTTACATTTAATTACAGCCGCTGCCTGTTGTGAAGCATGGAAGGGTTATAGTAATTGGAGCAGGTATTGCAGGGCTGGCTGCTGCCCAACAGATGCAGCAGTTTGGCATGGAAGTAATTGTGTTAGAGGCCAGGGTGAGATCATGTTTTGTGTTTTTCTGATAATGCTGACTGTTTTCTGTTGTAGATTTCAACTTTTTACTATTGTCTGCTTTCAGGACCGAGTTGGTGGCCGCATTGCAACTTTCAGGAAATCCAGTTATATAGCTGATCTTGGTGCAATGGTAGTCACTGGACTAGGTGGCAATCCTGTCACAGTCTTGTCCAAACAAATCAATATGGAATTGCACAAAATTCACCAAAAGTGTCCTCTCTATGAGTCTAATGGCAGCACTGTAAGGAAACCAACTCAAGATCTGCTGTATAGTGTTGTAGTGCACTGTGTGAAAATTTGATAATTGATTTTCTGTGTTTTAGGTTCCTAAAGACAAAGATGAAATGGTGGAGAGGGAATTCAACCGTTTGCTTGAGGCTACAAGCTACCTGTCTCATCAGCTTGACTTTAACTATGCTGGAAATAGACCAGTTTCCCTTGGACAGGCTCTGGAGTGGGTGATCAAGTAAGATCTAGCCAGAAATATTTCTGTAGTGTAAATTGTGGTTGTAAAATGTGTTCACAGTGGCATCATTGCAAATTTTCTTGTGTTGCAGGCTGCAAGAAAAAAATGTGAAGGAGAAACAAATTCAACATTGGAAAGCAGTTATTGGCTTACAAGAGCGTCTAAAATCAAATCAAGTCAAGGTACCTGTCAGCTGATACTTGATACTGCAAGCCTAATCATCAATTCTGGTGTGAATTCAGAGCAATAAAATTTCATTAAATTTCCAGATGGTATCCACACAAGAAAAAATTGAAGATTTACACAAGCAATGTCAGGAGTTCCACAATAGACCTGGGAAGGATATAACTGCTGAATTTGAAGCAAGGTCAAAGCTCAGGGATTTGAGCCACGCCTGCCGTGTGAGTTTTTTCTCAAGTCATGATCCTCAACTCTGGTTTTTGTCTATTCTTGTCTTATTTTTAATTTTATTTTTATCTCAGGCATGGGATCAGCTTCTTGAGCAACAGAAAGAAATTGAAGAGAAACTGCAAGAACTAGAAGCTTCACCACCCAGGTATATTGCTGAAAACAGTTTATTCTGACTTGAAAATATACAAACTCTTATATAACATTATATCTTTTTCTATATGCTTCAATGTGAAATGGAATGTGTCTGTTTTTGCAGTGATGTCTATCTGTCTTCAAGAGACCGCCAAATTTTGGACTGGCACTTCGCCAACCTGGAATTTGCCAATGCCACACCTCTATCCAACCTGTCTCTCAAGCATTGGGATCAAGACGACGACTTTGAGTTCACAGGGAGTCATCTAACAGGTAGGGTACAGTTGATTTTGTCTGACCTCCACTAGTGTCCTCGCCCTTATGGGTTCGCTTTGAATCCGATGTCTTAGTTGAAATTTGGAATGGAAATTTCAGAGGAAGCCATGAAGGCTCTGAACATTGCTAAAATTGTGGTAAAAGGGAGAAAAAAAATCAAAGGTTTTTATTTTTGGGTTGGTGAAACCGTTTTTTATTACCCAATTTAGAGCCTGTCCAGAAGAAACTGGTCTATTTCCAGCATGTATTGTTCTTGTTCTGCGGTGCTGGGTCCCGAACGGCATAGACCCATCCGTGGTCCAAGCCATAGGCCATTCCGCGTCTGCGAGTTGGAAGTTGGAGAGGCGGCACAGCCTGCAGCGTAGGCAGTGTGCCGCGCGTTGCCCCGCTGCGGGCCTGCCTGCGCGCAAGGCGCTCCCCGTGCTTCGAGTGGAGCCGTGGTGGCACGCATGGCGCGCGGCTCCCTGGCTGCCTGCCTGGCTGCCTGCCTGACTGGCCGGCTGGCTGGCTGGCTGGCTGCAGGGCTGGGAATCTCGTTAAGTCCCGTCTCCCCTCCCCGCATCGCCTTATTCTTACAATTATGATAATCGTAGGTGGAGGGAGGGGGAAGGGGGGCTTATGCATATAATAAACGTCGCCGAGTGTGTTCATCTGCGCTGCTATCATACGCGAAATCTTAACAGAAAGTAACTGTTTGAGTGTGTGCGTGTGTGTGTGTGCGTGCGTACGTTAGCGTGCGCTCGTCTGTGTGAGTGTGTTTGCGCGTGTCGGTCCGAGATAAAATTCTATTCCGAGAACCACCCATGAGCCACTCAGTGTGTTTGGCCTCTCCATACGCAATATGGATTGTTCTTTTTTTCCCTAGGGCGCTTCGCTTGGCGTGGCTTCGCACTTGCGGTTTTCAATTTGCGCCAGCAGGGGGCGCTGAGTGTGGAGCGGAGCGCGGTGCGTTCACCTGCTGATATCTCATTCAGTGGTGATTGCTTTTTACGTCGCAGGCACACGGTCTTTCCTAAAAAAAAAAAGTATGTCGGGACTTATTTTGATTAATTTTCTGTATGATTCTTGTTTGAAAATTCATCAAAATTATATCTTATTTTAAAGTTTTTTTTTTTTTTAAACTTGTTTAAATTTTTTTTTTTTAAAAAAGGCCGAAACTGTGGGATTTTTGCAAAGCGAGCGGACGAGTCCGTCGGATGAGTCGTGTCGTCCGGCCGAAGATTGTTTCCATTTTCTCGAGATACGTTGTTGCGATGCGCCGCAATGTTTGCACGCGATTTTAATTCTCCCCCGCCCCGCCAGTCACTGCGCGCGCTTGCAGCCGCTTGCAGCGGGATGATTTGTAGCCATTATTGCTGCAATTAGGCTGCTAACAAGGACGGCCGGGGTGGGCCTGGCTGCTTGGCCGCCTTGCTGCCCGCCTTAGCGCGTGCCCGCCAGCCAGCCTGCCGCCCGCTTACGGACGCCCCCTGCTGAAAACGGCGCGGCGCGGGGCCTAGGGGGCCTGGCCGGGCGCGGGGCCTCGCGGCCCTGCAGAGGGCCTCCGAACTCCCTACGTCGCGCTGTCCCTCCCGCACCTTCCCGCTGCGCGCCACCGGCGCGAGAGAGACAGCGCGACAAAAGTGCTGAGCCCGCTGCGCGATGTTGCTATGCAGACGCTCCATTTGCGCGATAAATCAGGCATAATAATGCGATATGCGAGCCGCCTTATCAGATTGCCCGCGGCGATGCGGTCTTCATACGCGACGGACGGAGCCATGACCGCCTTGACGGAGTGGGGCGCGGTGGGCGGCCGCCGCCGTCGCTCTGTCTCTGTCGCACGCGCCGCGGCAAACGTCTTATGGTGAACAGTCTTCATATCATGGTGAAAAGTCTCTACAGTGCAGCTGACTTTGTATCTTACCTCTGAAACCTCATTCTACCTAATAGATATTTTGTCAACTTTCCTGTTAGCCAAAGTCGCGGCGTGCAGCCGCAGAGCGAGCCTGACGGATGGGCGATGGGACTTTGGAAGGAGGCGGAGAAGGCCCTCTCGCTGGTCCGTCATCGGCGTCCTCGCGCACCAGGGCCTTGGCGTCCACGTCATGTGGCGCGGCGTGGCGGTCACACGCCGAGGCGCCCGCCTTGAAATATACGGCCCATTGTTGGCGCTACTCGCCAGGGCAGCCAGGGCACGCCGCGCCAAGGGAGGGCCTGGACGAGGACGCCGTGAACGTCGTGAACATCCTCACGGCCGCGCTAGCCTCCGCGCGTTGTCACAGCCCGCACCGGCCGAACGGTTCGGCTGCTGTCGTGGGGCGTCCCGCTGGGGTGCGCGAGAGACGGAGCGACACGAATCGGAACCACTACTTGGCCCGGCCTGGCGGCCTGGCGGCCTGGCGGGCGCGACGCCGCTGTCAGGCTGCTGCATTCCCCTCCTCGCGTCGTGGGAAGTGGCCGAAGTGGCACCAAGCGGCGGCGCCTCGCCGGCCGCGCCGGCCGCGCCAGCCTGGCCCCGGACATGTTTACAGTGGATAACAACCCCAATTAACGAATCGTCACATCGCCATCGGCTCGTTAATACCGCGGAGTAAACCACACGGCCCGGCGGGGCTAAGCGCGGCCAGCCAAGGGCCCGGCCGGGCCGGCCAGACGGCCCACTGCCCTGCCCGGCCCTCCGCCCGGCCCAGATCGCCGTAATAATGGTAATTATTGCATAGCCCCAGATTGATGGGCCCGCTAAACAAACACTAAGTGCGCGGGGCCGAACGGCCGAACCGAAGCGCCCCCCTCCTCCTCTTTCCCCCTCCCCTCTCTGGACCGAGCCCCAGTAAATCCCGCGGGTTTCCGTGAATGTGCCATTACGTTGTCAGCGTCCGCCGGAAAACGGGCTGCACGCACGCTGCAGCCCCCGCCCCGCCCCAGGTGGACGTCTTGATTGATAGGTTGGTGGACTCGCCGTGGACTCGGCGTGGCCCTCATTTTGGGGCGTTCGCCGTCAAAATATTTGGCTTTGCCACTTTTTTCCCACGCGCCTGTTTGTTGTGTGCGTGTAAAAGCAGCGCCCCTCCGTGCGTGCGCGCTGCGTGCGTAGCGGTCGCGGCGCGCATCCTGCAACGGGAAAGCGCGGCCGCATCGTCCGGCATCGCCGGCCGGACTTCCCTTGGAATTTTAGTAGCGATTAATGGGATGAGGAACGACCCGGGAAGTGCACTCGTGAGGAGGCCGCGAGCGGGAAAGTCTATGGAGCGCCAAATTGTGCCTGGCCGTGGTCAGAGTCCTTGGCTCGTCGTCGACGACTTTGTTGTTGTTGTCGTTGGCCGTGTTTTGCCAGTGTAGGTCCGGTCGTGCTGCGTGCGGAGTGCGCGCGTCGCGTCGTCCCGGACTCGTCCCGGACGCGTCTCGGACGCCGGCCTGCGTACGTCGTGGCGCGGAAGATTTGTGAGTGATTGCGTGGGACAGTAATGAGGCGATAATTGGGGCGCGCTGCGCCCGCGGGGAGGGCAGTCTGCGGGCGGGGCGGGGCGGGGCGGACCACCCAGGCCAGAGGGTGGTCAGAATGCTGCGGCGTGATGACAGGACTGACCGATTCCAGGAGTCTGCGTCTGTTGGCTGGAGTCTGGGCTGGCTGGAGTCTGTTGGCTTTGAACCTTGAAAATTCACTCGAAGCTTTTGGTAGTGGAACCAAGGTGAGGAATCTCCTTGGGTTCCTGGGCAGCACTTGCGGCCTGTTGCTTGGCGTCTGCTGCCTGGAAACCTGCCTGTAGTCTCCGAGGCTGCCTGCCTGCCTGCCTGCCTGCCTGCCTGTGCAGGTGTGGCTTGTCCAGCCAACTGGACAGAGGGTGGGACGTATGCAAAGCGACTGGGGTGCCGGGTCGGCGCCTCCGGCCCCTCGAACTTGTAGTTACTTGTCTGCGTCGGCGATGTGTTCATCTCGGGGTGGCCTGGCCTGGCGGTGTGCGAGCGCCGTGTCGCTGCGTGCGCAGTGTAGCTGCAGGTGGCGCGATGATGCATGGGCCTGGCCGGCCGGCCGGGGCGCGGCTGGGGCGTGGGTGGGGCGCGTCTCTAGGCGTCCGATTGTTTACCTGAATTAAAGGCAACGACGCCGGGGGCGTCCCGGCGGGGTGATTCCCGTGGTGGGCAGCGGGGCGGCGGTCCGGGCGCGCGAAGAAGGGACCGAGGTGTGGGCAGGTGGTGCGTTGCGCGTGCGTCCGACTGTTTGTTTGGTCAGTGTGATTTACGGGCGGAGTAGTTTGAAGCAGCGGTTTATTTATGGATTTTGGCTCCGGCTCTGGGAATGTGTGAGAAATTCCACGGGCCGTCTCGTCCGGGCTGGCCGGGCCGCCAGGCCTCGCCCAGTTCGGAGCGCATCGGCCGATCCTAGGCTTTCCTCGCCTTACCGTCGCGGCTTGGCGGCCTGGCTGGCGGCTTGCTTGGCCGCTGGATTTGCATCGGGTTTCTTCCCGCTCATTTCCATTGGCGTCCCTTCCGGACGGCCCGGACGGCCGCTGGAGCCTCCAGGACGCTCCAGTTTCGGAATTACGTAACGCGCCGGAGAAGGGCAGCAGCGTCCCTGGAGTGGAGGGTGTGCCGTACAAGCGGCTGCATGGCAATGACGTACTAGTTGGCGAGCTCCGCGAAGGGACCGCTGCACTGCAAAGGACACGGGGCGAGTGTGGTGTGAGTGCACTGTGAGTGCAGTGTGTGAGTGCGGTGTGTGTGTGGTGTGTGGCGCGCGGCGTCGCGGAGGCGTCGCTGTGAAGTGGTAAAGTTGTCGGTTTAGTGCGTCCCTCGGCCCGACGCTCTGACGCCCACGGCGCCCAGGAATTTACGGGCAAGGACGCGGGGCGGGGCGGGGCGGGGCGGGGCGGGGCGGGGCGGGGCGGGGCGGGCCGCCCTTTCGCGCCCTTGCCCGAGACGGACGCCGCGGTGGACACGGTGGACACCGTCCCAGACTACGCCCGCCATTGAGTAAGGCACCGCCGCGGCCGTCCGTCAGCACCGTCCCTCTCTCTCGC